GCATATGGAAAAAGATATCCATAGTCTTACTTCTTCAGAAGCAGGTCAGAGACATGATTTGAATTGCAACTGTGTAGCTGTGTGATTCTTTGCAGGTGTGGTGAAGTCCATGCTACCTTCCCTCCTGGTGTGAATTATGTTGTATTGTAGGAAAATTGCTTCTGCCACCATATCTACCTACTAACACAGTGCCGTTTGCTTTCTTTTGGATTGCAGCTTCTGGCTTTGAAATAAAAAACTGTTGAATGTATGAGGGAAACTCTAGACAATCCCAAGTCATGCTAGGGAAACATTTGGCAGGCCTTTAATTTGTTTAAGCAGAGGGTCAAATACAGTCATCACTTCCGTAGTCTTTGCAATATTGCCCTCTGTTTGATCCTTCTAGTTGTCATTGTGTTAGAACCCCTGTCAGGTTATATTTACTTGCTATGACTTTCTCAATGCATTTTTTTAAATTAGAGAGGTGAACTGATCTCTGAATACTAGTGTTATGCTACATGTCAAGTTTTCCTATGGCATTAGGGCAATCAGCAGTCTTTGAATTTACATGGCATATTAAGCAGATAATGCCCTGAGAAAAGCACTGCAGAAGGACCCTGCCGCAGATGAGCTCAGGTGAGCGTGAGATCTGGGAATTCACGCTACTTGCTGAATGCTTGACAGCACCGGTCCTGTATACTAAATCATAATTTGCCTCTTTCCTTTGCCTTGCGACGCGCTTCCTGAAAATAGTAGGTGGGCACCAAATATGGCATGGCAAAAGGCTTCTCTGTCGAGTCAGGTATTTTCTGCCTTGAGGACTAGATGGTGTCTCCTCTGACACTGAACTTCTGCTTAAAGCATTTTTATTGAAATGCTCCCTATTGTTACAGACCTTTCTTGATGTGGTTTTCAGAGAATGAACCCTTCATGACAGGCCTACTTTCTTTCATGTCTGTTTAGTTTTGGGTGTTTAACTTGGTGTACGTTAAGGATCACAGAAGGTGGCTACTACTTTTGCTGTTATTCATTGCTAGTGCAGCTGCCTGCAGATCTTCCCTAAAGAGCTTGATTAAGATAAGCTGTCTAAGGAAAAAAAGACAACATCTTTGAGAGCTATTTTTGCAGCTATTTTGCATATATATTTGTTGGATATGTAAGTTTGTAGTGGTCACATAGTAAGATCTAGTACTTTACTACTAAGTTGCTACTATTAAAGGCAAAAAATGAATGTGTGGTAAAAACTGGTGTAGTCAGCTGGAAAAGCATTTGTATAATGAATTTTTCATAGAAGCGCTGAAATCATGGGATGATTAACACAGCCTACTGGTCTACAAAACACTGTCCTCACAGACGTACCTGAATTATAAAATTACAGAATTGTTGAAGTGGGAAAGGACCTCTGGATCATCTGGTCCAACCTCAGTGCTCAACGCAGGGTCAACTAAAACAGGCTGCTCATGGCCATGTCCATTTGGGTTTTGAATATCTGCAAGGATGGAGACTCCACAGCGCCTCTGTGCAACCTGTTCCAGTGTTTGACCATCATCACAGTAAAATAAATAAGTGAATAAATATTATGTTTAAATGTAATTTCTTATATTTTGATTTGTGTCCATTGCCTCTTTTCCTGTCACTGGGCATCACTGAAAGAGCCTGGCTCCCTCTTATTCACACCCTTCCTTCAGGTATTTATATACATGGGTAAGATTCCCTCAGAGCTTTCTCTTCTCCAGGCTGAACAGTCCCAGCTCTCTCAGCCTTTCCTTTTAGGAGAGATGCTCCAGTCCCTTCATCTTCATGGCCTTTCTCTGGAATCTCTTCAGTATATCCCTACCTATCCTGTACTGGGGAGCCCAGAACTGGGCCCAGCACTCCAGATGTGTCTCTCCAGTGCTGAGCAGAGGTGGGGAAGGATCAATCCTCCTAATGCAGCCCACGGTGCTGTTGGCCTTCTTTGCCACAAGGGCCCGTTGCTGGCTCATGTTCAACTTGGTGTCCACCTGGATTGTCAGGTCTTTCTCTGTCAAGACAATTTCCAGTTGGTCAGTCCTCAGCATGCATTGGTGCATGGGGTTATTTCTCCCCAGATGCAGGACTTGGCATTTCCTTCTGTTGGCCTAACTTCCTGAGGTTCTTGTCAGCCCATTTTTCTCAGCCTGATGAGGTCCCTCTGAATGGCAGCAACCTCTTGGTGTATCAACCAGTCCTCCATGGTTTGTATCATCTGGGAACTTGCTGAGGGTGCACTCTCTCCCATTATCAAACCCAAGTTGTGTGGAGAATGCTTAGATACTCTTATGTGTTAGCTCTTGCATGTGTACATGAATCTGCAGTAGCCAGATCTAGCCTATTAGAAGTGAATGGTTTTGTTTTGCATTAAAAGAATAGATATAGTGTCTTCTAGTCTATTTAAAACACATTGAAAATTTACTAGAAACTATCTCCTGCTTCCCCCCCTACCTGAATGGAGAGTTTCAAAGTGGACAGTGAGGAAGAAGGCTTGTTTTGGGGTTGTATACAATAAGACAAGACTCTAACAGTGTCATAAAATATTAAAAGTATAATTGCAGGAAGAACTGGTATCCAACCAAAGCAGTAAGCACTGTGGATTCTTTTTTCTTAATTTCTAGTTTTAACTTCTCACAAGGAGTTAAAATGTTTTAAAGTTCAAGTAGATTTAAATGGCAAATATCTGAACTTATATCTGGCATTTCACAGTTTCTACAGAAGTGTGCAATTGTAAATAATATGTTGCTATTGGATGTACTGGAAATCAGCACCCTACAGTGGGTAAAATATTTCTGTTGTGCTCCTGGAGGCTTGCTTGTATATGGTGTAAATAGAAATATTATTGATGTTAATGAGGGAGGTATGTAGCCACAGAAAGCATAAACTTTGTGTAAACAACCTATGCCAGAGTTGACCAGCTAGCAACTCTGCTGTTGTTTGGTATCGCTGACTTCCTTTTCCCTCAAAAAGATTTTTTATTTTTTAGAGGAAATCCTGTTTATTTCCTTCGAGAAAATATTTTTTCCAGTTGGTCTTTTTTGTTTTGGTTGGTTTTTTTTCTTTCTATTAATCTGTTAAGGAGTGCTTTCTATTAATCTGTTAAGTCCCTGCAAGTTTGTTTTCTGCCCCTATAGTTGCAGTGCTTGGTACATGAAGAGTTGCTGGTAGTGCCAATGCCATCTAAATACGTTTCTCGTCATTAATGATTTGATTATCAGCTATTGCAGGTGTTCCAAGTTGTCTGGCCTCTTCCTGGGAAAAAGCATTTTACATTTATCCTTCTCTTTTCTCATCTGCCTTTCTTCTACCACAACCCTAGTTGCCTTAGCTGGAGAGCTATTTTGGGGCAGTCATTTCTACAAAGACCACAGTCCATTACTCCAACTCATGTCACAGCTTGAGAGCAATTGAAGTGATATTCTAGAGGCACTGCTTCTGGGGTTTGCTTAACTTTTTAAAGGAATGTAAAAAGCAGTTAGTGAATCACTGAAAATATCCTTTTTTTTTTTTTTTTTTTTTTTTTTTTTTCTTCACCCCACCCAACTACTAGCCTTAGCCATTTATTTTTTTACTTCCTTCTGGTCTTTTTAATATCCTTTCACTCCACAATCATCTCTCAAATCTGAGCATGTTAACTTAAGCAACTTTATGTGGAGAATGATTCTCTAGGGCTGGCTGACGGATTAAGTGGCAGTACCTTGGTTGTGAAGCAACCTACGTTTGCACATTCTCCAGTCGTTTCCCATTAAAACTTAAATCCTTGTTCTGTTGTGGTACCTTTAAAAAAGCAGACCTCCTCCTTACATCTAAATGTTATGAAAACCAGGCATACTGTAACCCAGAACCCCAAGGAATGCTTGATTGAAATAACAGATCAGAAAAGTCTCTTGCTAACATTCCTGTGATTATAGGTTTATTCAAGTGACAGAAACATGGTGTCAGCTAACTTTCTGCCTACAGCCTAATTTTGGTCCAAAAACTAGCATAGCTCTTAGAGGCTTCGCCAATGCAGTGTTTGTGGGGATAGATAACTTCTTAAAATGTAACAGTATTCATTACCTTTCCTGTCTCTAGAATTATCTTATGTATTGGTGATTGGTCTGGTTCCTGCTGCGGATCAGAGTGTATTCCCTGTTAGGAGTTACTGAGATTGAGTAGAGTGAGCAAAGGCAAAGAGAAATGACTCATTCTTAGCTCCCCACAGGTAAATGAAGAGACAACTTTGGTTTAGCCCCCTCTGCTCTTCTGTGGTATCTATTTGAGTTAATTTTTTCTTTGTATTTGGATTTCTTCTGTTTGTAACTTGTACCTGGTTTAACATCCCAAAAATAGGTCTGGGGGTATTGATGTAGGAAATGCAGGAAAAAGTCTTATGAAAGAAAATAAGAGAAGAAACATCCATTGGTTCTGATTTACAGTTAAAAAATGAAAGGTGAAGAACAGCAACTGTAGAAGTTGGTTTTAAAATGGTGTATTACATCAAGCAATGAGCATGGTGTAGGAGGAAACAGCAGATGCCTCACTTTCATTTTCGTGTGACCACATGACTTGAATACATGATGTGAACACATAAGCCAGAAATCTAAACTCATTTAACACATTTTGAATTTAACCCTTCATGCTAATGAGGGTCAGAGTCCATTTGTCCTGATCTGTGTTAGAGGTATTTGAATGAGAAAACTGATCACGAAAGTTCTTCTAGTGTTGTTCATCACAAACTTTTCATTTACAATGGAGCTTAGCAAATACATAATGAGAGCCCCCGTGACACAGGAGGCTGTTTGCAGCCTTAGTACACGTAAAGATGCACGTGCTATAAGTTATAATGCAGTTAACTCCCACCCCAGTGTGTACAAAATGAACACCAGCTGCTTTAAACTTAGTTTAAAGCTTCCTGGAATTGTTCCAGGTTCTGATATGGAAGGTCTTTCTATTTCGCTGTTGATACTCATGTTTGTTCTCTCTCCCTCCCACCCTCTCCACCTCTTTCGCCCTTTGCAGGCAAAGGCAGCTCAAGCATCTCATCCGACGTGAGTTCAAGTACAGATCACACGCCCACCAAAGCCCAGAAGAATGCAGCTACCAGTGAAGGTAGGCAGCTGGTACTCATTTCCCAGGTCAGGCCCCACAACATAATCCTAGCTATTTTCAGAAAAAGAACCCCTCCTCCTCGTTCCTTCTGTCCCTTCCATTGGCATACTAGAAATTAAAAAAGTTGTTCTTCCTATATGCAGTTTCCACTCCTACCTGTTGTAGTTTCTGCTTTAAGCTTGTGACAAAGGATTTAAGATTCTTCTGCAGAACAAAAATGTAGAGGGTTTTGAGTAATCTTGCATGTTACTTTTTCAGCAAAGGCTTTTATACTTAAGATTTGATGCGATCCAATTTTGAACTTATTTTTGAAGAATATACTTAATGGAAGCTTTTTGGCATACGTTCTAGGTTAAATCTCAGCCTCTTATTTTCATACTATGAACGCCATGAAAATGTGAGTTTTGTGTGCCAAGTTTTCAAAAGTGTAGCTATGAATATGAAGAGCTGACAAGATTTAATTAGATCAGTGCATCTTACCTGCAGTTGCTGGAGTATGGGATCATCTGGGACAAAATTTTTAATGTCTAGGGGAAGGAGATGTTTTATGTGTCAGTGTTAATACAACGTTATACTAACTGGCCTATGAATAGAGAAATGCTGATCCTTTCTTGCTGCCTTCTTATATGTGAGTAGGTGTGCTCTGTTAAATGAAAGTATATTGGCCTTTGTTTTTACAAGAGTGTCTTCAAGGGCTGAGAGGAAATCATTAAATCTTACGTAGCTTAATGATGTAAGCTGAAAGGATTTTTTTAAATGATAAATTTATGTGACTTAACTAGCATTTCTGCTCAACTCTGCCATAATAAGTTGGTGATTATCAAATATTAATTCTGATTTCTTTACTTCTGTCATTACAAATTAAGTTACAAGCTCTGATTGCTCTCAGTCTGGCTTTATTTCTTATGGTTAAAAGAAATCATAGACTTTGAATAGTTCTAGTTTGGCAAGTCTGCCTATGACTGTAGAACCTGTACAGTAAAAGCAGTTCATGTAAGTAATAAATGACCATATAAATCACAAGAGTTTATTGTTAGGCATGCATAATCCTGTATCAAGAATGAAGATCTGGCACCTGTGAATCATGAGAGATACTGGTTTAGAATCTCTGCTTTTTAGTTTGGGCAATAAATTTAACAATAAATTAATATATGGTAAATAAAGTTAAGTTGAATAGTAGACTTCATGTTTCTCTAAGCCTTAGATTCAAAAGTTTTGAGATACCTGAAGGAGGTGAATTGCCAAGGCACAAAATAAATTTAGGAAATGTATAAAATCATTTTAACTTTTCTGTATGACAGCCAGGGAAGAAAAAAAGAAACCACAAAGGAATAGTGGAAACTCTGAAGTCAGTACTTAAAAATTGCTTTAAATTTCTGTTTTACTTCAGTCAGTAAAGCATGTTTTTTTCCTTATTTTCAAATCAGATAATGCAAAATAATCCTTTACTAATCTCTAAAATTTATGTTCTTAATCTAGTCCATTGTAGACCCAGTGAATACCAATGTTGACCCTGAAATCTTCACCACTGTTTTGTAGCTGATTAATTCATTAGTGAGGGAGGCTTAAATGCAGGTCAGCAGATGCTGTAGTAAAGATATGTTTTTATGAGTTCTCGTGAAGATTCAGAAAGAGTTCAGAGCAGTGGAGTTGTGTATTCTATACTTGGAGGCAATTTCAGATGTGAGCCTGGTTTTTCTTTGCCCTAGAAGAGTGTGATTTGACAAACACTTACTTTGACAACAGCAGAAGTAGTTTCTTCCTCAGCCTGTGTTACTACTACTTTCCTATGAAGTTTTTCTGCTGAGGAGTTACTAATGTGGATCAGTTTAATATAAATTGCCTTAATGTGGATTGCTGTATAATCTGACAGATATTTTGAATGTCATAACCAGGGACCATAAGAGTTCCTTGAAGGCAAGTGAGAGCAGAGACATGGAAGTGGTGTTGGGGAAAAACAGGGACTGTTGAAAGCAGTGCTGTTACTGGAAGGCACATTTATCAACTGGTGTGTGTCTGGATTTTTTACTAATGCTGCCTCTTTTCCCCATGTACAGTAGACTCATGCTGTAGGAGGATTCAGCTGAACAGAAGGCCTCATACCTTCTGCAAGACGAGTAGAGTTCTGTGCTTACAAGGCTGAATGCTTTTACACTCTTCAGTTATAGCGTAGTGTCTAGGGACCAGCTAAGAACAGGAGCCTGATTGCGTTAGATGCTGTACAAGCAGTGGCAGTTATATCTTTTCATTGGGGTGTTTACATAACATTTTATAACTGTTTGTTAAATTTACCTTTATAGCACTCCATGCTCTAGTATTTGCTTGCCATGATACAGTAGTACCTGCCCACCCCAGAGACTGGTAATTGTATCTTGCTCTTCACCATGAGACTGGGTTATCGCAGGGACAGAAAGCTCCAATTCTGCCGTTTGCTTTAGCCCTGTATTGTAAATTCATAGCACTGTATACTGTCCTGTGAATGAGCCACATGTTGTGTGTGGTGAGATGTATGCACTCTAGGTATGGGGTGGGAAGGACTGTGAAAGATTGTAGGTGAACTTTTCTTCACGTTCATTGACAGGTGAAATGATCTTAATTGAACAAGTTGCAGACAGCTTCTTTGCGTCCCTTAAATTTCTATTGGTAGCTGAATTCCTGAGTGCCCAACTCTGTAAAGAACATAGAATTTGTGTTTGAGGCTGAAGGCCTTTCACGTCTCCTGCTTTCCAGCTTTGCAAACAGACCTAATTCTTTCCAGTTCTGCACAGCATGTTTTCTCTTCTGTTTCTACAAGACAGTTGACACAACACTTGTTGAAGTTGAATCAATGAAATGCCTTGAAACAACTAGAAAGGGAATCTGTGGGGCTGATTCATACAAGCTCTGTGGTACTCTACAGCAGAGAAGCAGACATGTAAAGTACTTCTTAGACAGGTATGGATTCCCAAGGACTGCAAAAAGGTGTCAAGCAGGAATCTTGCTTGAAAGAGCAAACCATCTCAGGAAGCATCTGACAGCAGGTGTTACCTTGCCACCAGTTTGAACAACCAAATGAACCACACTCTTCATTTGTCTACTGCAACCATTATATTTTTCAAGTTTCAGTACTGTGATGTTTCTCTATAGGATGGGTACAAGGAATGGGTAACAAGCTGCTTGAAATGCTTATGTGGTGTTCCAGTCCTGGATATGCTGTTAAGGCAACATCAGTGAAATCTCTTGATGGGAATGGGAGATGCAGTTATAGCCAAAATATGGTACGCTCCCTCACATTGTGGATTAGGAGCATCTGTAGAGTTGTGGAAGGAGATTTTATGTTTCAAAGAGGCAAGATGCTTGTCATGCTATTAAATGTGCCTGGGTGAACTACACATCCTCTACCAGTGAGGAACAGACAGCATGTGTTAGTATCCTTAGCCAAGCCAGCTTCACTCAGTGATGCATTAGAGAGGTAACTACTACCCTGTTTCTGTTGTGTAGAGGAATGCAGACAGTAGCTGGCAGACCATGCAACTTCCTAAATTCAAACTTGAGATACCAGTGGTGCACTTGAGAGGGATGCAAAGGTGAGGCTGTACTGGTGCAGAAACTGAAGTCCAGTCGCTATCATTGTGGCTTTCACTTTCTGTACTTCAGTGAAGGGCAGGTGGCAAAAAATAGATGTCTGGTCCTCTCTGTAAATCACAGAGCGTGCTGTAGGGACTGTTTGTTTGCCTACAGCTTGTCTCAGAAGGAAGCATGGTAGACTGTGGGTGTGCATGCGCACTGATGCCTCCACACTGTCTCCTCTTCTGAGGATACAATTTTCTTTAGCTTTGAATATGCACTGCCTTTTACTACTTTTTCAGTCTCAGACATTGTCTGCAATTCTTTACCCCATCAATCAATTACAGTTAGAAACTTGAGAACGCATGAGTTTTTGCTACCCCCCATTGCTCTTCTGGCAAGTGAAAGACTAAATCGATTTTTGTGGGCCATTTAAATGCAATTTGCTAGACACAGTCTCAGCTGGAATATTATTGTCTAAAACTTGATTTAGAAGATTAGACTGAATGTTTTTGTACGGGCTTACCTTGATCAGGGAGCTTTCTTCTAACACTTACCTGCAGAGTGTGGAATGTTATGTCCAGGCTGGATGCTTCATATTAACTTGACTGTTTTTCAAATAAAAAATCAACACTGCACTTCATGTATATGGCTGTTAAGTGGTAATCCAGAGGCAGCTTTAAATTGAGAGCTTGTGTATGAGTTCTAATTTATTTCTTGGTTTCTATAAAATCAAATTGAAGGATTAGGCCTGAAGCAAAACACTGGTTTAGCAGAGGAGCTCATTGCTGAAATAACTCTGAATATATCCTGTTAAATGTTTATACTTTTAATTTTGCGGAAATACAGTGAAGTCAGCTGCTGTATTCTGCCGAAGCTAAAATTATATCTGCTTTTAGTGATGTTGACTTTTAGAGACCTTCAAAAAGTAAGTATTTAACTTTGTTTTTCCTTCTGCAGTACTCTGAGAATTCTAGAGTCTGGCTTCCTCATATGATGTTCATGTACCTTAAATATACTTAAAGACTGTGTTTGGAATACAGACGAATTAAGAGAACACAGCATTTCACCCATTAGTGCTGTGATGTATGTTTAGTGTGGAGATCAAATGCATTTGTTTTGGCAGTACCTGTTTGTATGCATCTCAACAGAAGAGGTATTTCTTCTGAAGTTTACCTGTGTACTAGAAAAGTCCCCTATTCTCGTAGTTGTATCCTCCTTTCTGTTTTATTTGGGTTTTTTAGTGGTTCTGGTGGACTTGGTAGTGTTAACAGTTGGACTTGATGATCTTAAGGGTCTTTTCCAACCTAAATGATTCTATGATTCTGGGAGAAGCAGGCCTTATAGCCTGGCTGGAATAATTACAGTCATTAGGAACCATTCCCTCCATGAAATCATGTTTGGGGGGTAACTAAGTGAAAATGTAGCATTTTGCAAATATGTAATGCTTTAAT